ATACAAGCCAGGATGCCATTGGCTTTCTTGCCCCCCTGGGCACAATGTTGGTTCATATTCACCCGTTTGGCAACTAGAACCCCCAGGGCTGTTTCCTCCAGGCAGCTCCAGCCACACTTCCCCCAGCCTGTGGTGCTGCAGGGGGTTGTTGTGGCCCAAGTGCAGGACCTGGCACTTGCCCTGAATCCTGAAGGTTCTCGCTCACGTTCCCAGAGCTGAACTCAGGTGGAGCCCAAAGAGCAGCCACGGGCAAGAGGAGGTGACCACCCACCTTCAGGATCTCCAGCACTTCGTCCGCCTTCTTCTGGGACACGATGGCGTCGTCGTAGAAGCGGCTCAGCTGCCGCTGCAGCCAAAAGGCATCAATGTCTCGAGGATGCAGGTCCTTCTTCTTGGAACTCATCAGCTCCCCAGAAGCCACAAGCTTTAAGAAAAAAAAACCCAAAAAGGTTCTTTTCCTGTGAATGGCCTTTGTGCCATGGAGGGAGAGTTTGGGGGCTCTTTCTAGCTGTGAGGCCTCTTAATTTTATTCATGAGCATTTTGGTCTCCATCAGGCAACAGCTCCAAAACTCCTCTCCACCCACAAACAACATTAACTCCATCCACAGGCCAACAGGATTCCCAAACCTCCTCCAGATGACCTCCCCAAAAACCTGGTGACTCACGTTGGCCGAGAGGGTGCAGCGGACAACGGCTTCGTCTCCCTCCATGTCGTCATCGGACGCCTCATCGCGCACTTCGCCGTAAATGTCCTCGTCACCTTCCTGTTGGAAGTGAGTGGAGTTCCAGAAAAAAGGCTTCAGGAAACGTCAAAAGAGCTTTTCCTCAACACCAACAAAAAAAATGAATCATCTGGCAACTCCCCTCCCAAGGGGAAACAGCCCTTTCCTTGTGCTTTCCACCGGAACGTGACGCTGCTCTTCACTGAATTTCACCGAATTTCAGGTACAACCCCACGCCATGAGATTATTTCTACTCCCTACAGAGAGCTTTGGCCAATGACTCCTCCAACAATCTGTTTTAATTCCCTCTTATCACTTTCTCAGCCTTTTCCAAAACCCAACCCCAGGGAGCCTCGCCATGAAACGCTTCCAACCAGCTCATGTGAAGGTCTCTCTTCCTCTCGATCTGTCAAGTTTTCCCCCCACCCCACCCCACCCCCCCTCCCGAGATCTAAATATCACCATCTGGTTTCCATCCTACTGACTCATGATAAGCCTCGGATTAGCAGGATAAGCAACAAATCCTCCCCGAGCCAGGAAACGGTACCTAAAATAATCCAGCTTCTCCTTTCCTGGCAGAGACATCCCAACCCCAGCCACTGCCCACTTCCCAACGGGACAGAGGAAACAAAAAGGGACAAAGGAGGTCCCCTGAGGGGATGAAGGCCACCACCCACCCCTTCATCTCCTACCTCCTCATCGGACTCGAACTGCACGTTCACCCCGTAGGTCTCATCGATGTTGTCATCTGCGAGGGAGAGGAAAAGGGGGGGTGGGGAGTTAATTGGAGGGGAAAAATCTGGGCACCACATGCAGATCCAGGCGCCCGCCCACACCTCCCTGCATCCAAAAAGATGAAAAAGACCGCGGTTCGGATGCTTGAAAACTGTCCAAAAGTGGTTGGGTTGTGTTTTTTTTCCCACTTCTCCATGTGCAAACACCACCCTGGAGCGAGGTGGGTTTGGAAGCGGTCTCCAAACTTTCCACAAGCCCCATCCCTGAAGCCACGAGCCCAAAGACAATGATTTCCCCTACCCATGTTCTGGATTTCCTTGTCTCCTCCGTAATCTGTGATCTTCTTGCCCAGGTTGACCAGCACGTGGTAGCGGGTATCGTCCGTCTGGCCCAGCAGCAGATCGATCTCCTTCCGCCTCTCCTTATCCCGCAGCTTCTCGTTCTTCAGGACGGCCAACACCTCGTCAGCAGCTCCACAGAGGATGTCACGGGGCTGCCAAAGGGACAACGAGCCACAGGGAGAAGGTAATTAGCTAGTGAAGAACACAGGATGGATCCCTCCTATCTCTGAACCCTCATGGAGGCACCCAAAGGCCAACACACAATGTCCCCGAGCCCAAAAGCCACCACCGAGGGAGCAAACCCACCCCTTAAGGCTTTGGATCCTCTGCCAGAGCATGGAGACCCATCCTGAAGTATCCCCAAAAGCCACCACAGATGGAGAAAACCCACCACATGGGATGACAGAGAAGGATTAAAACATCCAAGGGATGGATTTTACAGGCTTTGACTCCCTCCTATCCTCTGCCAGAGCAGGGAGACCCATCCTGAGGTGTTCCCCATCCTCAGCTGGTGGTCCCCATCCTCAGCTGGTCCCCAAGAGCAGCCAAAGAAATAATGAGTCATATGTAGAAGAAATTTGCTACGTGAAGGATACAGGATGGATCCCTCCTATCTCTGGACCCTCATGGAGGCACCCAAAGGCCAACACACAATGTTCCCGAGACCAAAAGCCCCCACCAAGGCAACAAACCCACTCTATGGGATGACAAGAAGGATTAAAACATCCAAGGGATGGATTTTAAGGCTCTGAACTCTCCGTTGGAGCAGGGACACCCATCCTGAGGTGTTCCCCATCCTCAGCTGGTGGTCCCCATCCTCAGCTGGTCCCCAAGAGCAGCCAAAGAAATAATGAGTCATATGTAGAAGAAATTTGCTACGTGAAGGATACAGGATGGATCCCTCCTATCTCTGGACCCTCATGGAGGCACCCAAAGGCCAACACACAATGTTCCCGAGCCCAAAAGCCACCACTGATGGAGAAAACCCATCCCACAGGATGACAGGGAAGGATTAAAACATCCAAGGGATGGATTTTAAGGCTTTGAATCCTCTGCCAGAGCAGGGACCTCCATCCTGAGGTGTTCCCCATCCTCAGCTGGTCCCCAAGAGCAGCCAAAGGAATAATGAGTCGTACGTAGAAGAAATTTGCTATATGAAGGACATAGGATGGATCCCTCCTATCTCTCAACCCTCGTGGAGGCACCCAAAGGCCAACACACAACGTTCCTGAGCCCAAAAGCCACCACCGAGGGAACAAATCCACTCTATGGGATGACAGTGAAGGATCAAAACATCCAAGGGATGGATTTTAAGGCTTTGAATCCTCTGCCAGAGCAGGGACCTCCATCCTGAGGTGTCCCCATCCTCAGCTGGTCCCCAAGAGCAGCCAAAGGAATAATGAGTCGTACATAGAAGAAATTTGCTACGTGAAGGACACAGGATGGATCCCTCCTATCTCTGAACCCTCATGGAGGCACCCAAAGGCCAACACACAATGTCCCCGAGCCCAAAAGCCACCACTGAGGGAGCAAACCCACCCCATGGGATGACAAGAAGGATTAAAACATCCAACGGATGGATTTTAAGGCTTTGAATCCTCTGCCAGAGCATGGAGACCCATCCTGAAGTATCCCCAAAAGCCACCACAGATGGAGAAAACCCACCACATGGGATGACAGAGAAGGATTAAAACATCCAAGGGATGGATTTTACAGGCTTTGACTCCCTCCTATCCTCTGCCAGAGCAGGGAGACCCATCCTGAGGTGTTCCCCATCCTCAACTGGTGTTCCCCATCCTCAGCTGGTCCCCAAGAGCAGCCAAAGGAATAATGAGTCGTACGTAGAAGAAATTTGCTACATGAAGGACACAGGGTTGATCCCTCCTATCTCTGGACCCTCATGGAAGCACCCAAAGGCCAACACACAATGTTCCCGAGCCCAAAAGCCACCACCAAGGCAACAAACCCACCCCATGGGATGACAGTGAAGGATTAAAACATCCAAGGGATGGATTTTAAGGTTTTGAGTTCTCTGTTGGAGCAGGGACCCCCATCCTGAGGTGTTTCCCATCCTCAGCTGGTCCCCAAGAGCAGCCAAAGGAATAATGAGTCGTACGTAGAAGAAATTTGCTATATGAAGGACATAGGATGGATCCCTCCTATCTCTCAACCCTCGTGGAGGCACCCAAAGGCCAACACACAACGTTCCTGAGCCCAAAAGCCACCACCGAGGGAACAAATCCACTCTATGGGATGACAGTGAAGGATCAAAACATCCAAGGGATGGATTTTAAGGCTTTGAATCCTCTGCCAGAGCAGGGACCTCCATCCTGAGGTGTCCCCATCCTCAGCTGGTCCCCAAGAGCAGCCAAAGGAATAATGAGTCGTACATAGAAGAAATTTGCTACGTGAAGGACACAGGATGGATCCCTCCTATCTCTGAACCCTCATGGAGGCACCCAAAGGCCAACACACAATGTCCCCGAGCCCAAAAGCCACCACGCCCAAAAGCCACCACCAAGGCAACAAACCCACCCCATGGGATGACAGTGAAGGATTAAAACATCCAAGGGATGGATTTTAAGGTTTTGAGTTCTCTGTTGGAGCAGGGACCCCCATCCTGAGGTGTTTCCCATCCTCAGCTGGTCCCCAAGAGCAGCCAAAGGAATAATGAGTCGTACGTAGAAGAAATTTGCTATGTGAAGGACACAAGGTTGATCCCTCCTATCTCTGGACACTCATGGAGGCACCCAAAGGCCAACACACAATGTCCCTAAGCCCAACAGCCACCACCAAGGCAACAAACCCACCCCATGGGATGACAGTGAAGGATTAAAACATCCAAGGGATGGATTTTAAGGTTTTGAGTTCTCTGTTGGAGCAGGGACCCCCATCCTGAGGTGTTTCCCATCCTCAGCTGGTCCCCAAGAGCAGCCAAAGGAATAATGAGTCGTACGTAGAAGAAATTTGCTATGTGAAGGACACAAGGTTGATCCCTCCTATCTCTGGACACTCATGGAGGCACCCAAAGGCCAACACACAATGTCCCTGAGCCCAACAGCCACCACCAAGGCAACAAACCCACCCCATGGGATGACAGTGAAGGATTAAAACATCCAAGGGATGGATTTTAAGGTTTTGAGTTCTCTGTTGGAGCAGGGACCCCCATCCTGAGGTGTTTCCCATCCTCAGCTGGTCCCCAAGAGCAGCCAAAGGAATAATGAGTCGTACGTAGAAGAAATTTGCTATGTGAAGGACACAAGGTTGATCCCTCCTATCTCTGGACACTCATGGAGGCACCCAAAGGCCAACACACAATGTCCCTAAGCCCAACAGCCACCACCAAGGCAACAAACCCACCCCATGGGATGACAGTGAAGGATTAAAACATCCAAGGGATGGATTTTAAGGTTTTGAGTTCTCTGTTGGAGCAGGGACCCCCATCCTGAGGTGTTTCCCATCCTCAGCTGGTCCCCAAGAGCAGCCAAAGGAATAATGAGTCGTACGTAGAAGAAATTTGCTATGTGAAGGACACAAGGTTGATCCCTCCTATCTCTGGACACTCATGGAGGCACCCAAAGGCCAACACACAATGTCCCTAAGCCCAACAGCCACCACCAAGGCAACAAACCCACCCCATGGGATGACAGTGAAGGATTAAAACATCCAAGGGATGGATTTTAAGGTTTTGAGTTCTCTGTTGGAGCAGGGACCCCCATCCTGAGGTGTTTCCCATCCTCAGCTGGTCCCCAAGAGCAGCCAAAGGAATAATGAGTCGTACGTAGAAGAAATTTGCTATGTGAAGGACACAAGGTTCCTTATCCCGCAGCTTCTCGTTCTTCAGGACGGCCAACACCTCGTCAGCAGCTCCACAGAGGATGTCACGGGGCTGCCAAAGGGACAACGAGCCACAAGGAGAAGGTAATTAGCTAGTGAAGAACACAGGATGGATCCCTCCTATCTCTGGACACTCATGGAGGCACCCAAAGGCCAACACACAATGTCCCCGAGCCCAAAAGCCACCACCGAGGGAGCAAACCCACCCCATGGGATGACAAGAAGGATTAAATAAGGCTTTGGATCCTCTGCCAGAGCATGGAGACCCATCCTGAAGTATCCCCAAAAGCCACCACAGATGGAGAAAACCCACCACATGGGATGACAGAGAAGGATTAAAACATCCAAGGGATGGATTTTACAGGCTTTGACTCCCTCCTATCCTCTGCCAGAGCAGGGAGACCCATCCTGAGGTGTTCCCCATCCTCAGCTGGTGGTCCCCATCCTCAGCTGGTCCCCAAGAGCAGCCAAAGAAATAATGAGTCATATGTAGAAGAAATTTGCTACGTGAAGGATACAGGATGGATCCCTCCTATCTCTGGACCCTCATGGAGGCACCCAAAGGCCAACACACAATGTTCCCGAGACCAAAAGCCCCCACCAAGGCAACAAACCCACTCTATGGGATGACAAGAAGGATTAAAACATCCAAGGGATGGATTTTAAGGCTCTGAACTCTCCGTTGGAGCAGGGACACCCATCCTGAGGTGTTCCCCATCCTCAGCCGGTGTTCTCCATCCTCAGCTGGTCCCCGAGAGCAGCCAAAGGAATAATGAGTCGTACGTAGAAGAAATTTGCTACGTGAAGGACACAGGATTGATCCCTCCTATCTCTGGACCCTCATGGAAGCACCCAAAGGCCAACACACAATGTTCCCGAGCCCAAAAGCCACCACCAAGGCAACAAACCCACCCCATGGGATGACAGTGAAGGATTAAAACATCCAAGGGATGGATTTTAAGGTTTTGAGTTCTCTGTTGGAGCAGGGACCCCCATCCTGAGGTGTTTCCCATCCTCAGCTGGTCCCCAAGAGCAGCCAAAGGAATAATGAGTCGTACGTAGAAGAAATTTGCTATGTGAAGGACACAAGGTTGATCCCTCCTATCTCTGGACACTCATGGAGGCACCCAAAGGCCAACACACAATGTTCCTGAGCCCAACAGCCAGCACCAAAGGAGCAAACCCACTCTATGGGATGACAGGGAAGGATTAAAACATCCAAGGGATGGATTTTACAGGCTTTGACTCCCTCCTATCCTCTGCCAGAGCAGGGAGACCCATCCTGAGGTGTTCCCCATCCTCAGCTGGTGGTCCCCATCCTCAGCTGGTCCCCAAGAGCAGCCAAAGAAATAATGAGTCATATGTAGAAGAAATTTGCTACGTGAAGGATACAGGATGGATCCCTCCTATCTCTGGACCCTCATGGAGGCACCCAAAGGCCAACACACAATGTTCCCGAGACCAAAAGCCCCCACCAAGGCAACAAACCCACTCTATGGGATGACAAGAAGGATTAAAACATCCAAGGGATGGATTTTAAGGCTCTGAACTCTCCGTTGGAGCAGGGACACCCATCCTGAGGTGTTCCCCATCCTCAGCCGGTGTTCTCCATCCTCAGCTGGTCCCCGAGAGCAGCCAAAGGAATAATGAGTCGTACGTAGAAGAAATTTGCTACGTGAAGGACACAGGATTGATCCCTCCTATCTCTGGACCCTCATGGAAGCACCCAAAGGCCAACACACAATGTTCCCGAGCCCAAAAGCCACCACCAAGGCAACAAACCCACCCCATGGGATGACAGTGAAGGATTAAAACATCCAAGGGATGGATTTTAAGGTTTTGAGTTCTCTGTTGGAGCAGGGACCCCCATCCTGAGGTGTTTCCCATCCTCAGCTGGTCCCCAAGAGCAGCCAAAGGAATAATGAGTCGTACGTAGAAGAAATTTGCTATGTGAAGGACACAAGGTTGATCCCTCCTATCTCTGGACACTCATGGAGGCACCCAAAGGCCAACACACAATGTTCCTGAGCCCAACAGCCAGCACCAAAGGAGCAAACCCACTCTATGGGATGACAGGGAAGCATTAAAACATCCAAGGGATGGATTTTAAGGCTCTGAACTCTCCTTTGGAGCAGGGAGACCCATCCTGAGGTGTTCCCCATCCTCAACTGGTGTTCCCCATCCTCAGCTGGTCCCCAAGAGCAGCCAAAGGAATAATGAGTCGTACGTAGAAGAAATTTGCTACGTGAAGGACACAGGGTTGATCCCTCCTATCTCTGGACCCTCAATGAGGCACCAAAACACCACCCCCACAATGTCCCTGAGCCCAACAGCCACCACCAAGGGAGCAAACCCACCCCATGGGATGACAATGAAGGATCAAAACATCCAAGGGATGGATTTTAAGGTTTTGAGTTCTCTGTTGGAGCAGGGACCCCCATCCTGAGGTGTTTCCCATCCTCAGCTGGTCCCCAAGAGCAGCCAAAGAAATAATGAGTCATATGTAGAAGAAATTTGCTACGTGAAGGATACAGGATGGATCCCTCCTATCTCTGGACCCTCATGGAGGCACCAAAATGCCACCCCACAATGTCCCTGAGCCCAACAGCCACCACCAAGGGAGCAAACCCACCCCATGGGATGACAATGAAGGATCAAAACATCCAAGGGATGGATTTTAAGGCTCTGAACTCTCCGTTGGAGCAGGGACACCCATCCTGAGGTGTTCCCCATCCTCAGCCGGTGTTCTCCATCCTCAGCTGGTCCCCGAGAGCAGCCAAAGGAATAATGAGTCGTACGTAGAAGAAATTTGCTACGTGAAGGACACAGGATTGATCCCTCCTATCTCTGGACCCTCATGGAAGCACCCAAAGGCCAACACACAATGTTCCCGAGCCCAAAAGCCACCACCAAGGCAACAAACCCACCCCATGGGATGACAGTGAAGGATTAAAACATCCAAGGGATGGATTTTAAGGTTTTGAGTTCTCTGTTGGAGCAGGGACCCCCATCCTGAGGTGTTTCCCATCCTCAGCTGGTCCCCAAGAGCAGCCAAAGGAATAATGAGTCGTACGTAGAAGAAATTTGCTATGTGAAGGACACAAGGTTGATCCCTCCTATCTCTGGACACTCATGGAGGCACCCAAAGGCCAACACACAATGTCCCTAAGCCCAACAGCCACCACCAAGGCAACAAACCCACCCCATGGGATGACAGTGAAGGATTAAAACATCCAAGGGATGGATTTTAAGGTTTTGAGTTCTCTGTTGGAGCAGGGACCCCCATCCTGAGGTGTTTCCCATCCTCAGCTGGTCCCCAAGAGCAGCCAAAGGAATAATGAGTCGTACGTAGAAGAAATTTGCTATGTGAAGGACACAAGGTTGATCCCTCCTATCTCTGGACACTCATGGAGGCACCCAAAGGCCAACACACAATGTTCCTGAGCCCAAAAGCCACCACCAAGGCAACAAACCCACCCCATGGGATGACAGTGAAGGATTAAAACATCCAAGGGATGGATTTTAAGGCTCTGAATACTCTGACAGAGCAGGAAGACCCATCCTGAGGTGTCCCCCATCCTCACCTGGTCCCCGAGAGCCGCCTGGATGAAGCTCAGCAGCACCTCGTAGGTCTCGCGGGTCTCCTTGGTTTTGGGTTTGTAGATGATGCCCACCATCTCGTCGATGCCCTCGGAGAGCAGGGTGTAACCCTTCATCTTGTTGATGTCGTGCCTGTCCTCGTCACGCTTCCTTCGCCTGGGAAGAGAGAGGGCAGGGAGGAGAGGTCAGAGCTCCTGCGACTTCAAATAGAGCTAGTCTCTTTTAGTGGAAAAATAAAGAAGAAAAATTAACTTTTTTTAAAATTTTTCACTTCAATTTTAGTTTCTGGACATGGAGCAATTGGCTTCAAATGAAGAAAACAACGTCTCTGCATCTTCCAAGTTAGAATCATAGAATTGTCTCAGTTGGAAGGGACCTTTCAGATCATGGAGTCCAACCATCAACCCAGCTCTGCCCAAACCCCCACTGACCCATGTCCCTCAGCACCACGTCTGCCCGGCTTTTACATCCCTCCAGGGATGGGGACTCCACCACTGCCCTGGCCAACCTCCTCCAAGGCTTCACAGCCCTTTCCATGAAGGAATTTTCCCCAATATCCATCCTAAACCTCCCCTGGGGCAACTGGAGGTTGTTTCCTCTTGTCCCATCACCTGTTCCTTGGGAGAAGAGACCGACCCCCCCTGGCTACACCCTCCTTTCAGGGAGTTGGAGAGAGCCAGAAGGTCTCCCCTCAGCCTCCTTTTCTCCAGGCTGAACACCCCCAGCTCCCTCAGAAGTTCTCCAGACCCTTCTCCTTGTGCTCCAGACCCCTCACCAGCTCCGTTGTCCTTCTACGGACAATCTCCAACCCCTCAAGGTCTTTTTTGTAGGAAGGGACCTAAAACTGGACACAGCCCTCTCATCAGGAAGAGTGGGACCAGCAGGTGGAGGGAGGTCATCCTGCCCCTCTGCTCTGCCCTGGGGAGGCCCCATCTGGAGCACTGGGACCAGTTCTGGGCTCCCCAGTTCCAGAAGGACAGGGAACTGCTGGAGAGGGGACAGCAGAGGCTACAGAGATGAGGAGGGGCCTGGAGCATCTCTCTTATGAGGAGAGGCTGAGGGACTTGGGGCTTTTTAGTGTGGAGAAGAGAAGGCTGAGGGGGGATCTGATCAACGCCTCTAAATACATAAAGGGTGGGTGTCAGGAGGATGGGGCTGGTCTTCTTCTAGTGGTGCCCAGGGACAGGACAAGAGGAAATGGGCACAAACTGGGACATAAGAAGTTCCATCTCAACATGAGGAGGAACTTCTTGACTTTGAGCCCTGGGAGAGGCTGCCCAGGGAGGTGGTGGAGTCTCCTTCTCTGGAGACATTCAAACCCTGCCTGGACACGTTCCTGTGGGACCTGCTCTGGCAGGGGGTTGGACTGGGTGATCTCCAGAGGTCCCTGCCCACCCCATATCCTCCTGTGATTCAGTGGGGCCTCAACCAGTGCCCAGTACAGAGGGACAGTCACCCTCGGGTCCTTTTCCAGCCATTCTCCCACCACCTGAAGCATCCGTGGGGCTGGTGTGACCCAAGAGCACTTGGCCTGGTTGAACCTCACACCGTTGACCTCAACCCATCCATCCCTCGCTCACACCACCACGCTGCTGAATCCGACCCTGTTCACAGCACTAAACCCACCCGAGGCTGCTTTATTTAAAGGCAGGAAGGAAAAATTAATTCCTCGGGAGTGTTTTGGACACTAAACTTGAGTCAAGGCTCCGAGCTCCCAACTCACTTGGCTCGTCTCTCCTCCTGCATCTGGGGTTTGGTTCTCTGGGCCTTGTCCCCCATGCGGGTCCCGTCCAGTTTGCCCACCAGGGACAGGACTTCTCCAGTGGGTTCATCCCGCCGCGTCCGGTCGATCAGCGAGCGATCGGCTTGGAGGACGAGGTTGGAATTCTGGGAGAAGATAGAAGAAAAGAGCCATAAAGAACCGGCGGGAAGAACTCTTTTTCATCTAACACACCCCACACTGCTCGAGGCACAAATAATTCACATTTTAATTAACCGAGGGGGTTATTTAACGCCCCCACAAGCGCGATTTTACACTTTTAAGCCGGGACTGAGCCACCCGGCCCCATCCCGCGCCTTGTTTCAGCCGGGAGAACCAGCACGCTCCTCCGTTACCTCTTGGTGCCCGGAAAGTCCCGTTTTAAGGAGAAAAAAAGACCGGAAAAACCCTTAAAAGAAGGGTTTGGTCCTCAGAAGAAGCCCCCAGCCCCCTTAAAGGGCCGTTATACCGAGCGGAAGAGAATTAGGGGAGAATTAGGGCCGCCACAGGCCGGGGCTGAGTTTAAAGGCAGCCCCCGGGTTAACGGCACCGGGGAAGGCCCGTAACGGAGCCGGTGAGGGGCGGGAGGGCCCAGGGCCCGGCGGGGCCGCACTCACCGCCTTGTATTCGTACTGCAGGCTCCGGGCGGTGACATCCGCCATGGCTAGGCCGGGCTGGAGGCCGCGCCGCCGCCGCCGCGCACCGGGTTAGGCCTCGGAACGCCACTTCCGGGTCAAGCGGAAACGGAGCGGGCACCCCGGCATGCCCCGCGCTGCCGCCTCTCCGAACCACAACTCCCAGCATGCACCGCTGCGCCAAGTGAGAGGCCATGCTCCGAGCGCGGGAGGCTGACTGTGATTGGCTCAACCGCGCCGCCGCCGCGCGCTGCGATTGGCCCGTTAAAGCCCGTTGACGGTTGAAGCTTTGAAAGCGCCGGGGAGCAGGCGGGGAGGCGGGGCCAGCTCCCGGCCCGCCCGCCTCCTATTGGCTCTCCCCAGCCTAAGCCCCGCCTTTTCCTCACAGCCCCGCCCCCGTCCCGTGTGGGGAGGCACCCGCCGCCATTTTGGGGTCGCCCCCTTGGGGCCCTGGGCTGGTCCCGCCATGGCCCCGCACCCTGAGGGGCTGCGCTGGTTCCAGATCCCCCTCTCCTCCGCCCGCGTACCCCGCTCGGTGATCTTCAGCCATGGCTTCCAGGCCGGTCTCCAGCGTTACCAGCAGCTCCGTGCCCTCAAACACCTCCGGGTGGGCCGCCCCGTCGCCCCGCCTCCCCCTGGCCTGCTGGAGCCCTGTCCCCCCGACTCCCCGCCCGCTGACAGCCCTCCCCGGGCCTCCAAACGCCCCCGGGGTGGCAGCGGGGTGCGAGGTGAGCGTGGCCCTGCCCCGGAGGGTGGGTGTGAGGGGGGCCCTGACCCTCCTGTTGGCCCCACGGTGCCCCAAGGATGACCCCAGTCACCCCCGTGTTGTCTTCATGGCCTTTCCCTGAGCCCCAAAGTGGCCCCTGTGTTGTCCCCAAGACCCTCCCCATGCCCCCAGGGAGCTCCCAGTCACCCCCACAGTCCCTTGGCACCCCAGGAAGGGCCCTGGTCACCCCTGTGTTGTCCACAGGGTCCCCTGGCACCCCAAGAAGAAGGACTCCTGGTCACCCTTGTGTTGTCCCCACAGTCCCCATGCCCCAAGGGGTCCTGTGGTCCCCCCTGCTTTGTCCCCACAGTCCCCTGGCACCCCAAGAAGAAGGACCCCTGGTCACCCTTTTGTTGTCCCCACAGCCCCCATGCCCCAAGGGGTCCCCTGGAGCCCCCTGAGTTGTCCCCCACAGTCCCCTGGCACCCCAAAGAGGGCCCTGTTCCCCCCTGTGTTGTCCCCACAGCCCCAATGCCCCAAGGGGTCCCCTGATCACCCCTGTGTTGTCCCCAAGACCCTCCCCATGCCCCAAGGGAGCCCCAAATCACCCCTGAGTTGTCCCCCACAGTTCCCTGGTACCCCAAAGAGGGCACTGGTCACCCCTGTGTTGTCCCCAGCATCCCCTGGCACCCCAAGAAGGACCTCTGGTCACCGTTGTGTTGTCCCCACAACCCCCATGCCCCAAGGGGTCGAGGGTGGGTGTGAGGGGGGCCCTGACCCTCTTGTTGGCCCCACGGTGCCCCAAGGATGACCCCAGTCACCCCCGTGTTGTCTTCATGGCCTTTCCCTGAGCCCCAAAGTGGCCCCTGTGTTGTCCCCAAGACCCTCCCCATGCCCCCAGGGAGCTCCCAGTCACCCCCACAGTCCCTTGGCACCCCAGGAAGGGCCCTGGTCACCCCTGTGTTGTCCACAGGGTCCCCTGGCACCCCAAGAAGAAGGACTCCTGGTCACCCTTGTGTTGTCCCCACAGTCCCCATGCCCCAAGGGGTCCTGTGGTCCCCCCTGCTTTGTCCCCACAGTCCCCTGGCACCCCAAGAAGAAGGACCCCTGGTCACCCTTTTGTTGTCCCCACAGCCCCCATGCCCCAAGGGGTCCCCTGGAGCCCCCTGAGTTGTCCCCCACAGTTCCCTGGCACCCCAAAGAGGGCCCTGTTCCCCCCTGTGTTGTCCCCACAGCCCCCATGCCCCAAGGGGTCCCCTGGAGCCCCCTGAGTTGTCCCCCACAGTTCCCTGGCACCCCAAAGAGGGCCCTGTTCCCCCCTGTGTTGTCCCCACAGCCCCCATGCCCCAAGGGGTCCCCTGGAGCCCCCTGAGTTGTCCCCCACAGTTCCCTGGCACCCCAAAGAGGGCCCTGTTCCCCCCTGTGTTGTCCCCACAGCCCCCATGCCCCAAGGGGTCCCCTGGAGCCCCCTGAGTTGTCCCCCACAGTTCCCTGGCACCCCAAAGAGGGCCCTGTTCCCCCCTGTGTTGTCCCCACAGCCCCCATGCCCCAAGGGGTCCCCTGATCCCCCCTGAGTTATCCCCCACAGTCCCCTGGCACCCCAAAGAGAGCCCTGATCCCCCCTGTGCTGTGTTGTCCCCACAGCCCCTATGACCCAAGTTGGGGGGCTGTTCCCCTCTGTGTTGTCCCCGCAGCCCTCCCTGTGCCCCAAGGGAGGCTCTGGTGACCCTTTTTGCTGTCCCCACAGCCCCCATGCCCCAAGGGGTCCCCTGGTCACCCCTGAGTTGTCCCCAAGACCCTCCCCATGCCCCAAGGGAGCCCCAAATCACCCCTGCCTTGTCCCCCACAGTCCCCTGGCACCCCAAGAAGAAGAACCCCTGGTCACCGTTGTGTTGTCCCCACAGCCCCCCTGCCCCAAGGGGTCCCCTGGTCCCCCCTGAGTTGTCCCCCACAGTTCCCTGGCACCCCAAAGAGGGCCCTGGTCACCCCTGTGTTGTCCCCAGCGTCCCCTGGCACCCCAAGAAGAAGGACCCCTGTTCTCCCCTGTGTTGTCCCCACAGCCCCCATGCCCCAAGGGGTCCCCTGATCACCCCTGTGTTGTCCCCAAGACCCTCCCCATGTCCCAGGGGAGCCCCCAGTCACCCCTGCCTTGTCCCCAGAGTCCCTTGGCACCCCAGGAAGGGCTCTGGTTACCCTTGTGTTGTCCCCAGAGTCCCCTGGCACCCCAAAGAGGTCCCTGGTCACCCCTGTGTTGTCCCCACAGCCCCCATGCCCCAAGGGGTCCCCTGGTCACCCCTGCTTTGTCCGTCACAGCTCACTGGCACCCCAAAGAGGGCCCTGGTCACCCCTGTGTTGTCCCCAGAGCCCCCATGCCCCAAGGGGTCCCTGGTGACTCCTGCTTTGTCCCCACAGTCCCTTGGCACCCCAAGAAGAAGGACTCCTCTTCACCCTTGTGTTGTCCCCTGGCACCCCAAAGAGGGCCCTGGTCCCCCCTGTGTTGTCCCCACAGCCCCTATGCCCCAAGTTGGGGGGCTGTTCCCCTTTGTGTTGTCCCCGCAGCCCTCCCTGTGCCCCAGGGGAGGCTCTGGTGACCCTTTTTGCTGTCCCCACAGCCCCCATGCCCCAAGGGAGCCCCAAATCACCCCTGCCTTGTCCCCCACAGTCCCCTGGCACCCCAAGAAGAAGAACCCCTGGTCACCGTTGTGTTGTCCCCACAGCCCCCCTGCCCCAAGGGGTCCCCTGGTCCCCCCTGAGTTGTCCCCCACAGTTCCCTGGCACCCCAAAGAGGGCCCTGGTCACCCCTGTGTTGTCCCCAGCGTCCCCTGGCACCCCAAGAAGAAGGACCCCTGTTCTCCCCTGTGTTGTCCCCACAGCCCCCATGCCCCAAGGGGTCCCCTGATCACCCCTGTGTTGTCCCCAAGACCCTCCCCATGTCCCAGGGGAGCCCCCAGTCACCCCTGCCTTGTCCCCAGAGTCCCTTGGCACCCCAGGAAGGGCTCTGGTTACCCTTGTGTTGTCCCCAGAGTCCCCTGGCACCCCAAAGAGGTCCCTGGTCACCCCTGTGTTGTCCCCACAGCCCCCATGCCCCAAGGGGTCCCCTGGTCACCCCTGCTTTGTCCGTCACAGCTCACTGGCACCCCAAAGAGGGCCCTGGTCACCCCTGTGTTGTCCCCAGAGCCCCCATGCCCCAAGGGGTCCCTGGTGACTCCTGCTTTGTCCCCACAGTCCCTTGGCACCCCAAGAAGAAGGACTCCTCTTCACCCTTGTGTTGTCCCCTGGCACCCCAAAGAGGGCCCTGGTCACCCCTCTGTTGTCCCCACAGCTCCTATGCCCCAAGTTGGGGGGCTGTTCCCCTTTGTGTTGTCCCCGCAGCCCTCCCTGTGCCCCAGGGGAGGCTCTGGTGACCCTTTTTGCTGTCCCCACAGCCCCCCGGCGCCACAAGGACTCCCCTGGCACCAAGAAACGGGTGAGCAGAAGCCGGCAGTCTCCTGGCCCCACTCCTCCCCGTGCCATCCGGCGGGATGGGGCCGACCGGGACTCCCCACCGTGCCAGGAGACACCGGACACTTCCAGCCCTGTCCCGGTGACACCGGTGCCAGTTACGGGGTCCCTGGGGGGTGATGCCAACATTGGGCAACACACCACAGCCGGGCAGGGGGCAACGGTGCCACAGCAGGAGGGCAACGAGTCTGGGGGGCACCTGCTGGGCACGGCGACGGGGTGGGTGTCCTCCACAGACAGCGAGGACGATGACCTGACCCCACTGAGGGACGTGCTGGTGGCTGGGGACGAGCCCCCAAGCCCTGTGGACCACCAGGTGGGTGCTCAGGGGAGGGGGTACCCCAGTGCCCACCCGGGTGCTGTGGTTTCCCCCCCTAAAGCATCATCATCCCCTTGATTTGTCGCCCAGGTCGGTTGCCCACGGGCAGATCCGCTTGCCAACAGCCTGGAATCACCAGTCCAGGAGAAGAGGTAAGGATGGAACCCCCAACTTAGGGCACGGGGACATTTTGGGGTGCCCTCCCCGTGCCCTCACCCACCCCTGTGGCAGGGAGCAGAGCCAGGCAGCCACGCAGCACCCCGACCTGTCGCGGGTCCACGTGGACAACAACAATCCCTGGAAATCCCTGGAGGAGAACACAGAGCTTTCCAAGGATAACAGGTAGCCATGCCAGCCATGCCCTGGATAGGGGGGGTCTGCACGGTGCCCCCTCCCCACTCCATGCCACCTTTTTTTGCCCCCCCAGGGGTTTCCTGGCCCGTCACACCGTGACATCCCGATTCCTCCCCACCATCCACCCCGGGGAACCCGTCTTCTGCGCCC